ACTGCATAAACACTGATTTGATGTCAATTCCAGAAAGACATTCAAGACTGGGACAGAACATTTTAACCTCCCTGGACATTCCATCTGAGGCTGCAAAACAGGTGATTTTAGAGACAAAAATTTTAAAACTTGAATGGGAAACTGTAGAACAAGATATCATCCATAGATTGGATTGTATTAGGCATGGTATAAACCAGCAGTCAACAACCTTTTTGAGCTGTAGGCCAGAGCAACCCAGTTCAGGTCAAAGGCTGGTAGGAGGGTGGGCAGGACCCAGCTGCCACCTCTACTTTTCCCCATGACAGCACAAGCGAAGCTCCGGTCACTGCCCCTTTTTCCCACAGTGCAGCGGGGAAAGTAACTGCTAACAAAGCTCCCTGTTACCAAATGCTGTGGAAGTCCCACATCCATGGGATGGATTGAATGGCTCTATGTATCAGATCCAGCCCATAGGCCATAGGTTGCCAAACCCTGGTCTAAACCAAGAGTACAGGTTTGTACCCATTACCTAGAGTATCTTTTATAATCCCTAGGTACTCTCAATGAGTTAACTTTGTTTTTTTTCTCTGCTACCCACCTTGTCTCTTCTAGCAATAGCCTGCTCCTTTTACCCCTTTACCTAACCTCTATATTCTAATTACTGCTTTTCTTTAGGAGTATCTGATGAAGTAACTTGCTGCTCTAAGTTATTTGGTTTATACAGTGTATATCTGCTCTGCCTTCTGACTAACATCAGACTATCACTGTTAACTACCTTACTATAGTCCAACACCACACATTCGACAGTGCCAGTGAAAAAGATGAAGATGAAACTGGCACATCAACTGTCATGGACTAACTTAAGTAATTAAGCAGCAAAAATGTTAAGTCATATGCACAAAGGAAGTAACATGCTTTCCTTTGCTGTCCTTTGCTCTGGTTGGTCATTGTTAGGGTTATCCATCAGGATGCAGATGTTCTAGGTTGCAGACTTCATTGGAGACGGTTTTTCTTTCAGGTGAAATGAGACAGAATGTTAGGGCACCTTTTCTATCCCCCTTCCCTGAACAGGGCGAGCAGAATAAGCCTCCCCCCTCATCATTCTTGCAGCTGCCATATTGCGCACTGAATTCCAAGTGTATTTTCATCCAGATGATAAACCCAAGGACTGTACATAGGAATTAATAGCACTGAAAACATTCTGACCTGTTGTGGTCTTTCTGAGTTCTTTGTGACAGAAGATAACTCTATTATTTTTCTGTAGTCAAAAACTGAGTGAAAACTTAGAGCTGACATTTTCCGAGGTATGCCTCAAGTCTAAAAAGGTTGAGAACCACTGCCATAGGACTTCCTATTGAAGGAAGATGCCTGTTTATATTTTCTTGTAACATGAGAATGCTGTTACACATCAGTAACCACATGCTACTTTGTGGGAAGGAAACCTTATTCCGATGGCAAGGAAAACCAAGACAACTGGATGTTTCTATTCTGCTGCAGCCTTCGTTATGAAGTATTCCTTCTCTGTCTGTCTGCTCTACCACTGAGAACTTTTATTTTGGTTTTTGGATATCTGTTAGTCTGGAAACCTTGCTCCTGACCTTGCCACCATGGGTGACCCCACCAGGAATACAAAATGCCAGAGGCAGCATTGCTCTTGACATCATTAGTAGTGCACAAGCTACTCCACTACATCAAGGTTGCGATCCTTGGGAGGGAGGACTGATGTAAGGTAAACTCTGAATGTGATTCAGGATTGAAAGACAAGAAAGTATAATTAAAAACTTAACCAAAGAAAGGGGTTGAGTATTATTTTTGGAAACTAAGGACAAGAAAAACACAATGAAAACAAGGCAGACAGGGTTTTTTGGGTAGATGCGGTATCTTTTATTAGACTAACTAAACAGTTGGAAAAATATTCTTTGCAAGCTTTCAGGCACAAGCACCCTTCTTCAGGCATAGGGAGAGTCTGTTGGTGTTTTTGTGCTCTCCTGGGTAGAACAGAAGCCAATATGATAAAAGCAGGTCTGAGAAAATGCAAATGTGTGGTAGTGAAGTTCATAGGGAATAGGAGACAATAGGTATGAGACAGGTAGGTTGTGGGGGAGGGGGAACATTGAACTAGTGATAAAATATAGCTGGAACAATGCAGACAGGTTACCTGGGGTTATCAGATGGCAGGCAAGTTATAATGTGCCATAAATCCAATGTCTATATTTAGTCCATGATTTTTTGTATCCAGTAGGTTTACGAAGTGAAGTTTGCAGGCTCATCTACAAAAGGTGTTTTGTAAATTCCCTTTGAAGATTAGAACTGAGAGATTGGCAAAAGAGTGGATGTCCTTTGAGAAGTGCACACCCACAGGTAATTGGGCATTTTTGTCTTTGATAGATTTTTGGTGTCCATTCATTGTGGTACGCAGTTGTTGTTTGGTTTCTCCCACATATTTTCCATCAGGGCATTTAGTGCATTGGATGAGATATATTACATTTCTGGAGGTGCAGGTATAAGATCCAGGAATGGTGATGGTTCTGTTATGGGGTGAAGTAATTGTGAGAGTAATGGAGAGGTGTTGGCAGGTTTTACATTTTTTGTCCTGGCATGGTCTGTGTCCATTAGGTGTGGTTGGGTCATAGGAAGTTTGCTTCTG